TTTTAAAATGTTTTTTTTACTTTCTCAAAGATTGGTTCTTTTTTTTTTTTTTTTTTTTTCTTTTTTATTAAATTTGTTTGTGGGTAGATAAATACAGTTATAAGGTTGGGCGCCTTATATTATATGGGTAATGTGGGTTGTTTGGTCAAAGTATATTTGTAAGTTCGACCCTCTCGTTGAGTATATAGTTTGTATTGGGCGCCTTGCTATTCAAGGTCTTTGGATTTTATATGAGCATTCTAACACTTGGTAATATTATTATTTTACCTTTGTTAGTTCTTCTCGTGCTTGATATTGCACGTTGGGCGTCTTTGATTATTATATGTGTTTAAGATTGTTTTTGTTAGGCGCTATCTGTATTAAAGCTTAATTTTGCCGCAGGCAAAATTAATTAAAGTTTGAGAAAGGTGAGCGTTACTCTTTCTCTTTGTATATGGGCGAAGGCTTTTTTATGTAGGCAAGTTAAATAATTTATATTGGGCATTTTTTCAACTGTGAGTGAATTAATTAATAGGCAGAATAAGCAAAATTAATTTTTTGAATTAATTATGAGCAAAATTAATTAAAGTTTTGAGAAAGGTGAAAACTAAGGCTATTTATACATTCGAGAAAGCTATGTTTACTAATAATATAATAATAATAATAATAATAAAGTTATACAAATGAGAATAATAATTAATAATAATGTAAACATTTGGACAATCGTTGATCGTTAATCGATTGATAAGACTTAATACATCTCAATTTGGTAATTATCAAATGATAAGGTGTAATGTGTTCCAATTTGTTAATCGTTAATCGTTAATCATCGTGGCTGATGTTGTGATCTGTTTGTTTGTCACACGGATCTCTGTCGGCGTTCCCTCTGCTGATCGCCGGTATCCGCTATGCTATATTTGATCCCTTGGCGGTGAGAGTGAGATAAGCTTATACAGGTAATTCAGTCATCCTATTGGTTCGACTTTGTTTGTTGCCCCCTAATCACTTGTTGGCGTATTTCCTCTTTTGGAGGTAAATCTTTTGGAAATTCTCCATCTATATCCAATTTATGCGGGTCAAATGTCATGGCTAGTGATACCCTTCTATACCGGGTCTGATACTCATTTTCGTAATATGGTATTAATAATTCCAATAATTTTTCTTTATATAGGTGAATGCTTGGCGTAAAGAGTTTATGTTTTACTTGTTCGTATGATAGGTACTGTAATGGTCCTTGTTTATCGTCTTCTTTATTTTGAATTGTCTTCTTTTCCTTATCATCTAATCTATATAGATATATTGGTATGACAACTCGGTTTGTTGTTGTTACTTCTTTTTTCACCACTTGATTGTTATATAGTGGTTGTGTTCCACTTTTGTTATTTGAATAATAGTTGTGTATCATTATTAGTTGCATCTGTGAATCGTCTATTTTTAGATTAATTTCTTCCATTGCTTCTCATTTGATACTTTGATAATATGTTTTATCTTTTGGTTCATATTTTCCTTCGAAGCATGACTATTGGTTCTGGTATATGTTACATCTGATTCTTTGTGCTGCTAAGATTTTAAATTTTATTTTTGTTCCTTGTTTCTCTGTTATATATGGAATTATTACTGTATATCCTCGTGTTATTTCTATTTCTATTTTTGGTAATACTGGTAAAATAGATACTTCTTCTAGTTGTGGTGTTTCATATCTTTGGTTTCCCCATCTTTGATTTATCATGTGGTGTTCAATAGATGATTTTTCAGTTATTATTGTTCTGATCATGTTATTAAGATTTTCATGATTGTTGTTTATTTCAATATATGTTGGGTATACTTCGTTGATGAATTTTTCATAAGCATCCCATATTTCTTCGAGATATTCTTTTGTAACTTTGTCCTTGGTAAGGTTTTGTTCTTTCAACCTCTTTTCGTGTCGTTTAATTATTTCTTCTCTAGATGGTTTACAATATATTATTGTTGTTCTAATGCGTTTTTTAATTGCTGTCTGATTTTTTCCAATAATAGTTTTTCTAGTGGTTCTTCAAGATAAATATTTTCGAATATTTTTGTTTCTAGGAATGTTCGATCCATTATAATGTAGGTTGACTCATCGATTATTCTCTTTTCTTGCATTAGTAATAGTTGGTACCATTTCTTTTATATTCTTGTAAAATGCACATTTGTCTGGCAAATGCATATTTTTCTTTATTCTTATTCATTTGTGCTAATGGTTCAGATATTTCTTCTGGTAATCCAGTTACTCGGAATATTTTTTGATTTTGTTTTTCAAGGTATCCTATAAGTTGTTTTGTAAAGGTTGTCTTTCCAGCCGCTACTGCTTCTGTTAGAATAATGATATTGGCTTTTAGTGTATATTCTATTTCTTGTTCCATTTCCGTTTCTTTTAGTGATAATATTTTTAAGTCTGGGATCCCTATCCTTTTTCTAAATTTTTCTCCTAGTCTTTTATTTTGGAGTTTTGGTAATTGAGAGGCCATTATTACTGGTTATTTGTTTCCCTATAGATTCTCGAGTTTCGGATTTGGTTGCTACTTGTTTGTAGGTTTTCTTCAAATTTGTCAATAATTTCTAATAATTGTTCTTTAGTTGTCCCTCTTTTTGTTATATTGTAGATTTTGATTTGTAATTTTCTTAAGATTTTTTGTTGCTTCTGATTTATTGGATATTTTTGTCGTTCCTGACTTGTTTTTAGAAACTCTCTTTGTATGTCTCTTTGAATTTCTTTAATTGATTTTTCTGGTAGTAATGATAGTAAATTGTTTCTTCGAGCTATCTCGTTATGTCTTCGATTTAGTTCAATTCTTTCTTTTAGAAAGTGAAATTGATTTTTCAATAATTCAATAAATTTATAGTATTTTTTAACTTCTCATTTTTTTTTATCCTTCCTTCTGGACTTTCTAGTATTATTGTTAGGAATTCTGTTATCGGAATCTGGAATGTTATTCTTGGTTGGGTTATTTCTTCTTCTTGTAAGGAACTTTCTATTCCTGGTTCTCTTGTTTCTTCGTGTTCACTTTCTTGTTGATTCATAAATTTTCAAGTAGTATTTTGATTTCTTTTTGTAATAGTTCAATGGTTTGTTTTTGAATTGGATCTTTGTCAAGAAGGTAGTCAATTCTTTTATTGATATTGTAATCGTTTAATGCTATTGTTGGTAATGGTATTTTTTCTTTTAATTTTGTTTGGTCAATTTCCTGATTCTCGAATAATTCGAGTATTCTCTTTATTTCTTCAAGAAACTCTTTTCTTTGTCTCTTATTATGATTTATTTGTACTAGGTTTTTTTTCATTAATATGTTAGATTATCCTGTAATCCTTCTTTCGGATTATATATTTCAATTGTTATTGGTTTGAACCCTAATATGTCTATATAGTAAATAGTATAGTTCTACAAATATTGTGGTATAAAATCATAATCGTTTTTCTTTAATATTTGTCTAATATTATACCAGTCAAGGTATATTTTTGATTCTAGTACTTGGTCAATAAATTTTGATTCTTTTCCTATATCGTTTGTTGATACTAGGAATGCTATTAATTCGTTACAGAATAATTGATATTCTTCTTTTGGTATTCAGTTTGTTAAAGGTATTTGTTTTGTTCGTTCTAGTATAAAAAGTTGTATCCACTCTCTGAGTCGATATTCCTTTATTATAACACTATCTTTTGGTAAAAAGATTTGTTGATTAAAATCAATATATTGTTCTTGGTAGTTATTTTCTTGTTTATAGACTTTTGGTTCTTCGACTGTTTCTGGATTTATTTCCTTCAGTAAAGAGTCAAGTTTCTCTCCTTCGTTTTCTGTTATCGGTTCGTTTAGGTATTGTTCAAATATTCCTACTACTGTTGTAGTATACTGTTCGATTTCTGTCGTCTCCAGTTTGTTTTTTCTTGGTCCGTATGAACAGTTAGTGATATGTCTTTTGATACAATTATCACACTTTTCTTGATTTAATTCTTTTCTACACTTTATTTTCTTTCTTGAACAATGATTGCAAGCTATTGTCTTTTCCTTTGGTATTCGTATCTTTTTGAATTTTGGTAAATTCTTTTTCATTTTCTTTCTTATTATATAGATACAATTAATTCTTCTTCTGTTACAGTCTTCACACCTGTCTTGGAAAAGTGTTCTTTTACACTTTATTTTTCTCGTATAACAGTTGTTACAGGCTTGTTTGTATTTTCCTATCGTTAGTCTTTTAATTAATTTTTTCGTATAATTACACTCTTTCTCGTTTTTTTTTGTACAACGTTTACACTTTGTTGAGCCGTTTTCTTTGATGCACTTTACTTGTTTATTTAAACAATTTCTACACATTTTATTTATTTTTGTTATGAATATCCTTGGTCGTTTTGTTCAAGTTTTTCTAATATAACTGCACTCTAAATTATTTGTTGTACACCTTGTACACTTTGTGTATCCTTCTTCTTTTTTACAACGTACTCTTTTGTTATTGCAGTTTTGACAATTTTTGTTCATGTACTATTTTCTTTTTGATTGATAATGTCATCTACTATTTTAGTAATCTTGTCAAGTAATTCTTGTGTTTCTTCTTTTTCTTTGTTTTGTTTCCTATTTCCTCTTCTATCTATAGCGTATATGCACTGAAGTTTTCTTTGGGTACAATATTTGCACTCTTCCTTTCTTTCTTGTTTGATACACCTTCGTCCTATTTTTGAACAGGTTTCACACCTTTTATTTATTCTAATATTTTTCATTCAATATGTATTGGATTGTTCCCTTTGGGATAGATTCTTTTGTTGGTTCTTCAGGTTCTCTTTTTTCTAATTCCTTTAGAATGGTTGGACCTCTTTTGATTGTTCGGTAGTCTATTTTTGATCTTATACAATGTTGTTTTAATCTTAGACAGTTAACGCACTCTTTTATTTTTGGTAAGAGTTCACACTTTTTCTTCCACTTTTGACAATAGTTGCAAGCCTTACGGTTTTGCATTCAATTGTTCTAATTAATTCTTCTGAATGCCCATGGCCAGGAATTACAAAGTGATTGATCTTCTGGGTATTGATCTTTTTCTTCTTCTGCTAAGATTCTTGCTTCTTCTAAAATAGAGTTTATCTTTTCCTTGTAGATTGGTATACACTTTATTTGTTCTAGTTCTTGAAGATTTGTCTTGAGTGGTTCCTTCATTATTATTTCCAAGTAAGTTACTATTGATAATTCTTCTTTTCTTAGTGCTATGTTTGTTATATCTAATGGATTTTGATTTAATAGTATTGAAAGGTTTTGAATTAATTGAAATGTCTTCCTATATTTATTTTCTTCAGTTACTAATGTTCGATTCATTTGTTATGATCTGTCCCAGTTGAATCCTGCTTCTTTAAATACTTTTTGATGTTGTACTTGATTGGTAATTGTAATGCCCCAATTCATTACTTTCCCGTAGTACTTCAGTGTTGTTCCTTGAAATGTCTTCTCAAGGATCAAACATTGGTGTTTCACGATAAAGATTCTTTATTCTTATCGGTAATTTATTTCCTTTAGTCGTTGTTTGTTTGATAAATATTGATCATGCTTTCCCAAGGCATGATGTTTTTATTGATTGGATCTTGATAATCTTGTTTCCTGTGAGTGCCATCCCATGGTCTTATCTCATTATGACTATAAAAGCTATTTAATATTTCTTTTTCTAGATTTTCATGTTCCAGTAAATATATCGAATAATGATTGTTTGTTTTGAGTGTGTCCCCAATACACTCGTGATTGACTAGTAATTTTATTTGTTACACCCTTGTTATTTTCTTGTATCAATGACCAATTGATCACAAGATATATATATTTAATCTGGTGCTACTATGCCCCATCCATCACATAGTGCTATCGCACACTTTCCCATTATAGGTATATTAACGGATAAACTTTAATATCCTTCTATTAATTCTCAGAATTATAGATTATCCTTTTTGGGATATATTAATATTATCCTATTCGTGCGTCTTTTAAGCTATAATTATACAATAATATTTATACATTTATACTGTAATTTGATAAACTATATATGGTTATATTTATTATTCTTTTTTAGTTATGTTGAGTAATATTAATTGTAATTGGTGTTGCTGGTGCTGATGAAGATCTTTTTTCGAATTCTTCTTTACTGATTTCATTGATGTTTTGATCAACGTTCCTTGGTCGTACTGTTGGTGACCGTGTAGGTCTTTCTTCCCTTTCTTTTAATTTTTGTAATATTACTGTTCCTTTTTCCATTCGTTCTATTATTGACTCATTGGCCATTTGGATAGCTTCTTCTTCAGAAGGTAGGTCACTTTCTTGTTGCGATTCATCTCGCTATTCTTCTTTTGATGACAATAGGAATGCTCGAGTTATAACCTCTTTTCGTATTTTATTTGCTTTAATTTGAAGGTGGGGTTGATTATAAATCA